GCCGGCCAGCTTGATGTGCCCCAGAATTATTCCCTGTACAAGTGAGTATTGACTATATCTATTTGTGGAACTTTAACTTAATACAATGTTTTTATAACAGGGGCTTCATTCACCTGGGCGCGGGCCTGTCCGTGGGCTTCTCGGGCATGGCAGCCGGCTTTGCGATCGGCATTGTGGGCGATGCCGGTGTTCGTGGCACAGCACAGCAGCCTCGTCTGTTTGTCGGCATGATCCTGATTCTCATTTTCGCTGAAGTGTTGGGTCTCTACGGCTTGATTGTCGCCATTTACATGTACACGAAATAAATCAATCAATTCAACACACACCCAACAACACGTAGACAAACAGCCCAGCAATCAACAACTAAAACAACAACAACAACTGCAAGTAAAAAGTGCATCAAATTAAATAAATTACCATCCAACAATAACAACAAATGTCAACACAACTTGGTGTCAACTCTGGTGGCCGTTTGTATATAGCAACAAAAAATTAAAAACAAAATAACTGCAATTGAAGAGTTGGGCGCCAGTGTTGTCACATAAGGAGGAAGAAGAACAACAACACCATTTATGATTTTTTGTTATTTGCCGTTTTTACTTTGCATATAGTTATATCATATATGTAAATTGATCAATTGCTGGTCCACTGTTTAGTTTAGTTTATTTTTTCCGTTCAAATCAATTTTGCAGTTAAGTTCATAAAGTTGTAATCAAATATCAAATTTGTCTCTTACTCTTTTTCTTTTATCTTTATTATTTTTTGCGCTTCACAAATCGTGTGCTCTTTGTTATTTGTTTTTTCCATTATTATTATTAAATAATGTTTAGTGTATATGTAAAATTCGTTAACGAAATCTGTAAAGAAAAACCACAACAATTGTAAATTTGCATACAGCTGCAACAACAAATGAAACAAATTTAGCGAAAAGGGCCAAACAACAACAAAAATTAAATACAAATAAATTACAAATCGAAACCAACAACAACCAACATAAATTGGGCTGCTGCACTTGCGAAGGGGCAACACTTGCAATGCTTACGGCGTTGCTACCTCGCTCAAGACAAGCCCGAGCCATGCAGTGTAAGCGGCAACGTTGTTGGTGATAGTAAAAGACAAAAAAAACTACTTGGCAATACTTCAACAACTGCAAACAACAACCAACTACATACAATCATAAACACACACACACACACAACTCCAACATACACACACACACGCATACAAAATGTAACTAAGTCCTATGTTTATTTTTAATTATTGTTCAATTCTAAGAATGATATATTAAAAATTAATAATAATAAATTATATATATATATAATTATGATTTTTTTGTGATAAGAAAAAACATAAAAATTGTAATACAAATACAAACAAAAACCACAATTACGGTATTGATATACATAATATATATACACAATATATATATACTTATATATATGTAAACGAAAATGATAAACAATTATACATATTAACATGAGAAAGTTGTTATAAACAAAAGCAAAACCATACAAATCAAGAGCATGATAGAAACGGTAAACAAAACAAAAAAATTAAACAAGTTACACACACCTACACACAATTTTTCCGCTGTTATTGTATAGTAAAGAAAAATATTATATATATATATAAAATATATATTATGTATAAAATATTAACATGAAAATGTAGTAGCAAAATTATAAACAACACAACACAACAACAACAAAAGTCGTGCAAGCAAAACAACTATATAAAACAAAAAATAAATACGTTAACAACAACAACGTTCAAAAATGCAACAAAAAAATTGTAAAATCCCAACAAATTAGAAGTTATGCAAAAAACCAAAAATAACAACAAAATCGATTTGTATACTAGCAAATAGGAACAACAATTTGTACATCAAGAACAACAACAACAACGACAACAACATAATGTGGCAGGTGGGCACGGCTGCGGTGCGTACTGCCCCTTGGCCGCCGATGCATTCGTGATGCTGAGAAAGCGGAGGTGACCAACCCGTGCAGAACGCGCATCGCCCAGCCACGCCCACACAGCTGCACACATATACAGACACGCACAGCTTAACAACCCAAGAACAACAAGCGAAAACAAATGCACAAAAAGACAAACAAGCAAAGCGAGAGAAACATTCAAATTTGTATATTAAGCTTCGCCCCATCTACTGCGGAAGATGATCGCTCCTCTAAAGCCGCAGCCTGCGTGTTGCTTGCTTTTGGGGGCGTGGCGTACCGTAGGGGGACAGGCCGCGTATTCGTTCAGGTTGCTGCGCGTGGCTTGATACGAACTGTTATTACTATTTGCATTCTCCAATTACTGTACATCCACACGAACACACACACATATATATATACGATCGATGAGGTTTTTAGAGCAACTACTGTAACTGTGTATTCGAGAAAAACAACATCAACAACATCAGACATTGTATGAAATAAATTGTAATTTCTAATTTCCAAAAAAATATTGACTTTTATTTTAATGGGGGTCTTAGAAGTGGATCATCGGACTTTATCCGAGATGTAGATTTGTGTTTCACTTAATGACAGCTGCTGTTGCTGTGCAGCTCTCATGTGGGTTGCTGCTGTTACTTAACAGCCGCAGCTACATGCTGTTAGTTAGCAGTAGCTTAACATTTGTGTGTTAGGCATTTATGTTCGCCCAGAAACTAGTCGGCCTCAGTGTGTAGAAAGTTGAGGAACTTTGTCTACCTGCAGGAGAGTGTCGTACCTGTCTCTGTTAATACATGTCAAGTCCTCTTGGCAGAGATGACATCTTTGATCTATAGAAATAAGTATATAAAAATATATATGTTCCTCCAACATCCAAGACTTACCTTCAAGAAGTAATTATTATTTACTGTTAAATTAAAACAAACGTATTAGTTTTTGTTTTTTAAATATTTTCTTCCTTTATATATATTTTTTCTTTTCTTTTCTCAGCGTTTACATGGTTTCTGTTTACTGTTTACTGTTTACTGTTTACTGTCGGTTCCACTTGTACAAACTAAGTTTCGTGTATATGTAGAGTTAATACAATATATATATATAGGATATATATATATATATATATATATATAATCTATGTATAAAATGTTATTTTGATTACATTAATTGGAACTGAATGCTAAATCAAAATGTGTTTTCGGTTCTCTTTAGCTTGGCGAGCTCTAAAATTATTCATAAGATCGGAAAACGCGATACAGAAATTTTCCAATTGCTTTGCTAATTCTTAATGGATTTGTATTGATTTTTATGTAATGCTTGATTCATGTTTTTTTAATTTATTAAAGCAGTTTGCATTATTAGTAATTTAATGTTAAAATAATAATAATAATATATATATATATATAAATATATATATATATATATTTATTTATATATATATATATATCTATATATATAGTTGTATTCCTTGTATATCAATAAACTATGTACAAAACGAATTGGCGTTAAGAAGGCAAAGGTATTTGTTTTTGACAGATTTTTGGAAGATTGCAACTGGAATCCTCTAAAATGATATATGGGCAATCGAAAAATAGTTGGGGAAAACTCTAGATGGGCAGCTTTAGTATCCCGAAGAACTGCGTTTACGTAATATTAGCAAAATATTCAATTTTTTAACCTAGGCTTATTCTGTTTACTCTCGTTCACTTTTCTTTTTAACTTTCTTTTCTTAATTTTGTTTTGTTTTTGTTTTTCTTTTTTTAATTGTTGCTTTGTATACTTTCCCTTGTTCGGCTGAATTTGACGACAGCTAACCATATATTAAATATAGTGTCTATCCTTAAGGTTCTTTAGAAAACTTGTCTCGAAAAATTCCTATTTACTTTGTATTTTTTCCTTTGTTTCGCAAAAATCTGAGGTAGTTTTATATATATATACAAGCTTATATATATATATATGCTTCTTTATTCATTTTGAATTTTCTCTCATTTTTGTTTTGTTTTTCGTTTGTTTCTTTTTTTGTTTGTTTCTTGTTGCGGTACAAAATATCGAAGAATCTTATGTTAGGCAATCCCAAAAATATTTGTTTGAACTCCGAACCTACATAGGCGATTGTTAAAAGGTATTGCTTTCAAGTATATATATATATATATGTATATATATATTGCCTACATCATTTACAAAATGCAACTTTTGCCTCATTCTCATTAAAATAATAAAATAACTCGAACTAAGAAAGTATTCTAATGCCATGCGTTATCTACACATAAATATATATATATATATGATATAGTATATATATATATATATATATATATATATACATGTGTGAGTTTGCTTATAGTTCTTGTATACAATTCTTAAGTTGTAACTTTAAGTACCCGATTTAATGGCCAGGGATTCTAACTAACCAAGCATTACTAAGTCTTGAGTATGTTCTACAACACGCACACACATACATATATATATATATATATATATATATTTATATTTATATATATATATATATACATATATGTATTGTTTATATATATTTAATATATTTTATGGGGAATTTATATGTTTTATTATTGTTATTGCAACATACGAAAAAGCTTTGTGCGAAATCAGATAATCAGATTTACGAAATCCAATATATATATATATATAGGGTGTATATATATAAATGATCTATAAATTTAGTTTTAATGGATATATTTATATATCTATACATTTATCAGTCGATCTTAAACTGTTTGTTGTTGTTCTTTTTGTTGTAGTTGTTGTATTCATTTCGCTTTGGCAGTGTTGAGTACTTTTTAGGGTATTCTTCGTCGATCTTTGCATAACTTACTTTAAAGACTTTACAAATTGTTAAATATTTTAAATGATTTATTGTTAGGGCGAACTCTGCTCGAACCTGACCTGTGACATGTGACATTTGACATGTGACATTTGACTGTTAGATAAATAATAAAATCAAAATTGGAAAACAAACAAAAAATTGAATACGAAACGAATTTAAACAAATAATTGCTTTTATTTTGTTTTGCTTTCTTTTGCTTTGTTTTGTTTTGTTTTGTTGTCTAAATTAAATTGTTTAAGTGTAATTAATTAATTGTTAAATATTTACATACGAGTTTCCTAATCAAAAATTTTGACTACATTAATTTGTTAAAGATAATTTTGAAAACTTTTTCTTTTTCCTTTTGCTTTTTCTTTTCTCTTGGCTGTTTGCTAAAGAAACCTAAAAACTGTTTTTGCATTGCTGTTCGAATTGAGTACATTGAATTTGTTTAATTAATTAATTAGTTTAAGAATTAGAAACAATTTTTTTCTTTTGTTTTGTAGCGATAAATGCTTCAAGTCTTATTCTTGTTGGTTGTTTGTGCGTTTTCCCTTTTGTTTTGGAAGTATTTGAATACAATGAAACGATTAAAACGAAACGAAACGAATAAAGAAAACAATATCAAATCAAAAACGTTTCAACTTAGAGTACATAAAATTATAATGAAGATGATATTGGGAGAAAAAAAGTCTTGTCTGCGGCGGCGTTACACTCTCTTCTGCGTTCCTTCGTTCAGGCAGTTCACAATTTACATAAAGTAGTTAAAAATTATAAATTTAAAACTAATTAAGTTTACAGCTAACATTAGGCGATATATATATATATCTATGCTTGTCTTCAGCAAAATAAAATACAAAAAAAACCTATAAAATTTGTTCACGCGTTTTTTTTTCCGTTTTCGTTTTTGATGATATTGAAGCGATTTCTATATACATTTGATGTGGATTTGCATTATTATCTAAAAACTGCAAGCAATATCTGCCTTCTATATATGAACAGAGCTATATATGTATGTTACAAGACTTATCGTATAGTATGCATGTATATGTGTGTGCATGTCTATGAAAGTTTCGGGCTTTGTTGTTTGGGTGGCCTTACATAAAAATAAACTAAAAACTACTTGTCACTGTTTACTCGTTTGTCCTTTGGGGGCATGTTGGGGTTTGTTTTGTTTGTTGTGGGGTGGTTTAATTACTTAGCAAATACTTTCTAAATCGGCACCAGCGCATCTGTCGGCACTAGCTGTTCCACTTTAGTCGCTATTTTTGCCGCTGCCTTGGGGGGTTTGCGCGGATGTTTGCATCGCTGTTGCATTTGCAGCTTGGCTATGCTGAGCACCTGCTGGTAGCTGGAGACGGTACCGCTGCTGGTGCTAATTGTGCCCGAGACGCCGTCGTCTTCGTCCTCGTCCTCGTCCTCGTCGTCTTCCTCGTCTTCGACGTCCTCGACGTCATCGTCGTCGTCATCATTGTCATCTTCATCGTCCTCCTCGCTGTCTGCACACTCGCTGCCGCTCTGCTCCTCCTCGTCCGCCATCTGCTGCTGCTGCTGCTGCAGCTGCAGCTCGCTCACATTGTAATCGTCAGCGAATAGCTGCGAATCGTAGCGCAGTCTGTAGGCGGTGCTCAGCAGACTATCAATGCGTGTCTTCTCCGCCGGGCGCATGTGCTTAATTTGCAGCACCTTCGAGTGCTGACGCGTCCTGTTCGGGCATTCGGGCATCCACTCATCCGAGATGCTGCATCGAAATAGGCATAGATAAGATATATTCTCTGCTCTCTCATTCAATCATGTTTCACTTACATCTCGCGCGGCGACCAGCGTACGAAGCACTCGTTGCCGCCTTGCCGATTCCTCCTCCTCATCAGGCACTGGCCCTGGAACGTGATGGCCTGAGCGCCGTTCGTAAGCGTGCTGATCTGGCGTAGGCGATGCTGCAGTCCCTCCATAATGCCCGTGTCAAAGAAGTCAAACATGCGAGCTGTACGATTTGGAATGGGAGCATTTGTATATATATTTATTTTCCAGTTCAATATGTTGCCTTACCTGAGAAGGGCTGTCGGCGGTATCGCAGCTTCTTGCCATTCTTGCGCAGCTGCTTCGGCACCGGGGGATCGGATGTGCGTTTGCTGGTGCTCTCCTTGGCATTGTCCGTGGCATTGAAGTGATTGTTCACGTGCTTCTGCAGAGCCAGCTGCGAAGGTGGAAGGAAAGTCAAGTTAGCTCAGGCTGCCGAGTCGAAGGGCACGTGTTGTAGTGTGGTTCTTTACTTACCTGTGAGCCAAAGCGCAGGCCGCAGCCCTCGACGATGCACTTGAATTGCTTTGAGCCGCCATGCGAGAGCACATGGCGTTCCAGCCAGCGACGGGAGCAGGACTCTTTATTGTACACCTTGCAGCCCACCCAGAGGCAGGCGAAAGGCCCCGTCTGCGTGTTGACATGATGCGTCTGCATGTGGTCCAAGAGCTTCGAGTTGCTCTCGTGCTTCTTGTTGCACTTGTCCCAGTAGCAGACGCCATCATGCCGTTTCGCACCCTTGCCGCCTGCTCCGGCGCCGGCCGGGAAGCGGATCGTCTTGGGCTGCGACAGAATCGGCGAAATGGCGCACTTGGGCAACAACTTGCTGGCGCTCTCCGCCAGCGTCGTATCCACCATGGTGCTCGGCACGAGACAGGGCGAGGCTGTGGAGCACTCGTCGTTGCTGTTGTTGCTGGGCGAGGCGGGCGACGGCGCATTGCTGGCCAACGAGTTGCTGTCGGAGGCGTTGCAGCTGTTGCTGCTGGCCGAGGCGGGCGGGCAGACGGACTTCGAGGAGCTAAGATCAAAGAGCGACATTCAGAGAGTGAGAACTGGTTGACCCGACTAAGAGATATCTTCTGCTGACTGTGACTTACATGGCATCTGCAATGGAGTTGCTGCTCTCGCTGTTGCTGAGGCTGCCGCCAATGCCGGACTCGGGTGTCAGACGCTTGTGCGTGGCCGTCTCTGAGGAGGCCACCGACTTGTCGTCCTCCTCATCATAGTTGCTGCTGCTGCTGCTGCTGCCGACAACTGTCACAGCTGCGGCTGCGGCAGCAACAATTGCTGTGGCTGCAGCAACTGCTGGCGTTGCTGCCTGCGAGCAGTCTTCCGTGGCACTGGAATTGCACGAGGACGTGACCATCTCGCTGAGCATGTCCTGCTGGCTGGCGTTCCCCTCCGGCGAGCACATCTGCTGCGTTTGGCTGCTGCTGCTGTTGCTGCTGGCGGCCGGCGATAGCGCCGAGCTTAACGATGCCGGCGTCGAGGCCTCCAGCGAGAGATCTGCTGCGCTGCTCACCGAGCTGCTGCCGGTGTAGCTGCTGCTGCAGTTCGAGTTGCACTCGGCGGCCAACAGCTCGTGCTTCAGTGGCTCCACGCGTCTGGCATTGGGCAGCTGCCCGGCAAAGCTCTGCGGCTTGGGCGTGCTCGACAGCGGAGGCGTGGCTGACTCCTCCATGGGCTCCGACTTGATGGCCACCAAAGACTTGCCGAAGGCCGACAATGTGCTCGACGAGTGGGCGGACAGAGCCGGCGAGGCACGTGCCGATTGCTGGAAGTTGCTGTTGCAGTTGCTGTTGCTGTTGTTGCTGTTGCTGCTGGGCGAGCTGAAGGGCAGCGGCGTCAGCGTGCATGGGGCGGGTGTTGCGGCTGTGGGCGTGCCAGTCGACGTGGCACTCTTGCCCAAAATGCTAATGGCGCCATTGGAATTCTTAACCAAGTCAAAGAGATCAGCGCTGCTAGAGATCTTAGCAATTGTTGTCGATGGCGGCAGCTGTTGCTGCTGCTGCTTGGCCATGCTCAGCGTTGGCGTGAGCTTGGCCGGCGCTATGCTCACCAGCGGCGGCGTAGGCGTCGTTGTGGGCGTGGCACACTTGCGCAGCTGCTGCAGCTCCTTGGCAGCAGCAGCGCCCGCGCTGGTTGGCACCAAAGGCGGCGGCGTAGTGGGCGTGGCAATGGCTGTATATTTGGTTTTGCTAAGTGGCGGCTGCTGCTGCTGCGCCCGCTTCTGATACGGCTTGGCCAGCCCAGCAGGCAGCGTGCGCGACTTGGCGGGCGAGGCGTTCGAGATGGTCACCAAAGGAGGCGGACCCTTGCTGATGGCACGTTGCTGTTGCTGTTGTTGCTGTTGGGCAGTGTTGCTGTTGTTGATTACAGTACTCGAGGCGTTGCTGTTGCTGCTGGCAGTGTTACTGTTGTTGTTGTTGCTGCAGCTGCTGCTGCTGCTGCTGTTGGCAGCAGTCAGTGGCGGTGGCTGCGTGGCAGTGATTAATTGTTGCTGCTGCTGCTGTTGTTGCTGCTGCTGTTGCTGCTGCTGCTGATGCTGCTGCTGCTGATGTGAGAGCAACAGCTGGGCCAGCTGCTGCTGCTGTTGCTGCAGCTGCAGCTGCTGCTGCTGCTCGCTGGCAGGCTCAAATATGGAACTCAGGGCGGGTATGGGCTGTAGAGCAGGCAGCGCATGATGTTGCTGCTGCTGCTGATGTTGCTGTTGCTGCTGCTGCAGCGCCACAGCAGCAGCTACTTTTTGCTGCTGCTGCTGCTGCTGCTGGTTGTTGGCAGCAATGGCTGCTGCAGCCTGAGCCAGCATCGCCGGCAGCGTAGCTGCATTCAGCAGCAGCCCCGCTGGCGTCGCCATGAAGACGGGCTGCGCAGGTGCCGCGGCGCCCAAGCGCTGAAAGTGCTGCTGCTGCTGCTGTTGGTGGTGTTGCTGTTGCTGCTGTTGCGCGGCGATTGCTGCTGCAATTTGCTGCTGGAACAGCTCCTGCAGGTTGGCGGCGCCATTGGCAGCTGTGGGCGTGGCAGCGACCGCTGCAGCAGCCGCCTTGACAGCCGCCGCCTGTTGCAGCTGCAACTGTTGCTGCTGTTGCTGCTGCTGCTGCTGCTGCTTCAGCAGCAGCTCCTGCAGCTCATTCAGCCCGAAGGGATTGGCGCTAGCTGCCGCCGCTGTGGCGGTCGTTGCCGTTGTCGTTGTGGCCGTCGTCACCTGCTGCAGCTTGAAGACGGTGCCGTTGAGGAAGTATTGCGCCGCTTGCGCTGCCTGCGCTGAGGCGGCTGCTGCTGCTGCATTGTTGCTGGCTGCGGCAGCAACTGCTGCCTTGGCCACGTTGTTCAGCTGCATGATGTTGGCGGCGGCCGCCAGCTGCGGCGGCAGATGCACCAAGTTTGGCAGTTGCACGGGCAGCTGATAGAGCGTGGGGTTGGGCGTGGCAGTGGCAGTGGGCGTTGCAGCAGCAGCAGCAGCGGCAGCGGCCGCAGCAGCCAATTGCAGCTTCTGGCAGGGCTTTGTAGCAACTGTTGTTGAGGTGTTGTTGCTGCTGTTGCTGCTGCTGCTGCCGTTGTTGTTGCTGTTGCTGCTGATGATGTTGCTGGGGGGCGCGCGATAAGCTGCTGCTGCGAGCAACGTTTTCGATGTTTGCAGCTGCAACTGTTGCTGCTGCTGCTTCATTTCGGGCGTGCGCGGCGCAATGGCCACGTGCTTTTTGGCGGGCGATTTGCCAGTGCCCGCATGGGCGTTGGCGGCGTGTGCATTGTGGGCGTGGCTGTGGCTGTGGCTGTGGCTGCTGCTGCTCGGCGTCTTGCGCAGATTGGGCGCCACCTGAGCAATTTTGGCGGGCTGCTTGCTGCTGCGTTCGATTTTCTTGAGCGCCGGCACTGGCAGCACAGCAGCAGCAGCAACAGTTGCCGTCAGCTTGGGCTGCAACTGTTGCTGTTGCTGCTGCTGCTGTTGCTGCTGCTGCTGCTGCTTTTGCTCATTCAACTGCGAGAGTATGTTGAAGTATTTGTTGAGCGAGGCTGTTGTTGCTGGCGTGCTCATTGTCAGCGTGTTGGGCGTGGCTGTTGCTGCTGCTGTTGGCGGCGGCGATGGCGTCGCCGACAGCTTGCCCGGTGTCGCCTTCATTTGGGATTTGAAGAAGCCCGTGATCTTGGTCTGCGACTCCTCCTGGGCAGCTGCCTTCAGTCTTTTGTCGCTGGTGCTGCTGCTGCTGTTGCTGCTGCTGTTGTTGCTTTGTGGATCTGAGCGAGACTTCTTGGGCGCCACAGCAATGCAGGCCAAGCCGCTGGCCTCGTTGCTGCTGCTGCTATTGTTGTGGCTGTGGCTGTGGCTGCTGCTGCTGCTGTTGACTGCGGCGCGCTTCTTGGACGCTGCAACAGCCGGCACGGCAGTCGAGGTGCTGCCAAGGCTCGTGTTCCATGGCCATTGCAGCGTAGGCAGCGTCGTGTTGTTGCGTTGTGGGATTGCTGTTGCAGTTGCAGTTGCAGTTGCAGTGGCAGTTGCGGGTGCAGTTGCATTGGTTGCTGTTGTGATTTTGGCAGTGTTGTTGCTTCTGGCGGCGTTCGCTGTGTTTGTTGCTGCAGCAGTTGATGCTGCAGTGTTGCTGTTGCTGTTGTTGTTGCTGCTACTACTGCTGCTTGGTGCAGCGCTGAGTATTTGTGGCGGCATTTTGTTTAGCTGCTGCTCGTCGCTCAATAGCGAGTGCGCACTGTACGGTGAGCCAGGCTCGGATGCATCCTCACTGGAGCCTGTGCTAGAGTCTGCGCAGCTTAGCGAGGTGGCAACGCCGCTGCAAAACAAAACAAAAGCAGAACCAAATGCATCAGATAACAGTTATAAAAGGCAAACACAAAAAAGTTCATGTTAAGTTAATTTCAGCCACACCTTTGGGCAGTCAGACGCGCGTTTGTTGCTGCTGCTGCCCCACAAGTGCAGCAAGTGAGTTTTATGTGGAACACATTTCGTGAGCACTTTAATTCATGTTCGCTGCATTTTTCTTGGCAAGCACAAACACAATAAACACAATAACAATTCGTTTAGGTTTTTTTTCATACAGCTTTGTTTTTTGTTTTATTGGCTGTTAGCTAACATTGCTGCAGGCAGCGCGCATCACTAGCGCTCTGTTACAGGCGTTCACAATAGCAGGCGCAACAGCTGTGTAATTTCCCAAGCAATCGAAAATGGAAGTCTGCGAGCTAACAAAAGCTAAATGCTACGAACTGGTCAACCAATGGCGCTTACATTCGAAATGTGGAAAGTAAAAATATTTTTAAAACAGACAATATTTGTATTAACAGTATTAGTAAATTTAAGAGGTATTTACACGCAACACAAAAATGATTATTATTATTGATAAAGAACCTAGGAAACGTCTTTTTTGTCCCTCATAGTTTAAACACGTTAAGAAAACAATAACAGCAAGCGAGAGGCGAAAGAGAGAGAGAGGGTCAAGATACATAAGCATGCAAGCTGCGATTATGCTGCTGCCGCTGCTTCTTCTTCAGCTGCTGAGAACGGCGCACGCGAGGTAACGAACGAACGACCGAACGAACAAACGAATGAACGAATAAAAGACCGAAAGAGCGAAAGAAACGCATATGTAGCACACAAAAACACACAAAACCAAAAACGGGTCGATAAACGAAAGCATAAGGTAAACAAAAAAAATAATACCTCACGCACACACACACAGAGACAGACAGTATAACGCAAGAAGCAGCAGCAGAAAAGGAAGAAAAATAAATTCAACTTCCATTCCATGCCCTTTTGCCAGCGTGTTTTTTGTTGTTTGTTGTTGCTTTGCTTGCCGTACTCTGGCCGTCTGTGTTTCTCTCTGTGTATTCGCCTGTCCCGCTGATTGTCTGTCGTCGTTGCCCGCGTGCAACATAACCAACCAACCAACAACAACAGCAGCAACAGCAACACCAACAACAACAAGAAGTTGGAACGCGAGCATTCTAATGCGGGAAAATTTCAGTTTCAGGTAGTAGAGGCGCAGGCAAACAATCCGAGTGCCGTTTTGCGCTGCAAGGGGAAACGAAATGGGAAGTGGACTGCACGTCGGCAGTTGTGACCCCCCAAACCCGCGTTTGATGTTTGTTTGAAATTCTTGTTTCTTTTTCTTTTTTATGTGTGCATATTTAACAGAATTAATAAAAAGCGTTGAGCGTGAGGCTTTTTCACACACTCGCACTCACACGCACACTTACACGCACGCAATCATATTAACATATGCACTTGCGCTGCCTTCTTTTTACAGTTTTTGTTTTGTTTTACTTATTTTACTATTTTTCTATTTTGTATGCAGTCGTTGTTGTTGGCAATGCTGACTGCACTTGATTCTATTTTTTAACAGTATTTATGAGCGTTTTGAATTTGTTAAATATTTTATTTGACTTTTGTGGTTAAAGAATTTTTTACTGGCGACGCCGACAGCAACAGCGACAGCAACGTCGGCGTCGATGCTGGCATTTCACCTGCGTTCGCTGTCGAAGCCTTAGCCTCAGTCGCTGCTTCTGACGGCCGCGACGCCAGCATTCCTGTTAAACGCATCGTTAAAAGTTGGGATTTGTTAGACCGCCGCTGTTGCCGCTGTTGTAGTTGTGTTTGGGATGGGACTTTGATGGGTTTTCTTTTAATGCCCCGCCTCTTTATGTTCAGATACCAAGCACATACACACATACATAATTAACAATTGTGATATATGAATGTAAAATTTATAGATTGTTGCCATTTAAATATTCGAACTATTTTGAAATGTTCAAGTTCGTTTACCTTTAAAGCAGGATATTTTGTCATTAATTGCTGGCTTTCCAGCACGACGGAATGAGTATTTTAATATATTTTAATTTTTATCCAATTGGATTCTGTTTTAAAGAGGGGTTCTCCTATTGGCTTTTACTCGCCTATATTTAAATAGTTACTTTCAAGATTGTATCTTGTGCGAGGGATATAATACAATTGTATTTTAAGATAATCAACGAACACTATGAAATAGTCTTCAGCTGATATAGGATTTCAAAGGAGCTCTCATGATTTGTACCTAGTTTACTTTGTATATTTTAAATATCAATCTAAATAATTAGAAAAGTATCCGCTTAAAAGTCATTTCTAAAGTTCTACAAATGTTTTTATGTATTTATTTTTTTATTTATTTAGATTTTGGACTGATTTTATAAAGATTAAAATATGCCTTATGGACTTTATTAAAGTAGCATTTTCATAGTTAATGTTTATTGTAAAACACATTCTTTACTTTTATAAATTCCATTTTCTCACAATGTTAAACTAAAATATTGTAATTTTTTCAATGTTCCGTTTAATTAACTATATTATATTTTAATATTTATTATTTATTCCATATTTTTCGAACTCAAACTGATATATTTATGTTTTCTGTTAACATATTTTTTCATTTATTCTGCTTTTCGATTTATGTTTCACCGACGGCATTTTTGCTTTTGAGTATTTCACCTGCGAGTCACATTTCCCCTTTTTATTTTTATCAGTTTTGTCCCTCTCGATGATATTTACTTAAGCATTTCATTTGTTTTGGTAAGTTGTTTCAACTGAGAGTTTTTAATTGCATATTCCTCAGTTGATGTTCAATTATTTATTGGATTGAAATTATTTTTCATTGTAAATTAGGCACTTGTATTTTATTTTTCATTGTCTTGGTTGTCGTTGCACACTTTTCACACACTTCATATTAAATTCATTGGCGGCCTCCTAGTAAAAACGCCAACAATTTACATTTTATTAGTAAATCCCATTAGATACACACACACACACACACACACGCGTATACGAATACATATACAAAGTGACTTCCACTTCCGCCTGTGAGATGCCTGTGTATGTGTGTGTGTATCTACCACCCAACACAAATTCCAACCCCTACCCATTCCATCGTTTCCCCCCATCCCTCGCACAATTGAGCATGCTTCATTTGCAACGTATGAATGAAAAGCGCGCGTCGTTTTGGGTGGGCAAAACGCGACAAAAAAACACAAGAAAGGGGGAGCAAAAGAGACAGAGTATGAGAGAAGGTGAGAAAGAAATCATTGCATATTTGCGTGGGCAAACAAAAACAAACAATGTTAACAGTTTATTTAACATATGATGTAAATGTAAGCGCTGCTGTAATAGTTTGACAGAATTAAAACACACATACGAGCATGCACATACTAACGTATGTATGCATATGTATACAAGTATGTATGTATGCTACACACACTTCACTACACACTACTACAACTACAAACACATGCGCAGCAGCTGAGAGGGAGCAATGCACGCGACGACAACGGCGACGGCGACGTAATCGTTGCCCCCTTTTGATTACTTTTATTTTTAACACACACACACGCACATACGCAGAGGCCGTCGCATCTTTGCAGACGTTGCGTTCTTGTTGTTTTTTTTTCTTTATTTTGTTCTGTTGCTGTGTACACATTTAACTATGCTTGTGTTGGTATACTAACATTTAATGTTAGACAGCAGCTCCTCCAACGGCGACGGCGGTTATCCAAAGCGCAGTGGCAGCGCACGCTAGCAGCACTTAAAGCTTAAATGTTTCACACGCACACATATACACGCACGCACACAGTCGCATACATAGACCGAATCACAGCTCACGCACGTTTGTTTGTTTCTTTCTTCTGCTGTTTGTGCATTTGTTATTGCACTTGGGATATTTGAGCACTTTGTGGCATTTGTAGTTGCATTTGCATTATTTTATGCTAGCAGAGAAAACACAAACACACAGAACATTGTTTTAATTAATCCACACATAAAACCAAGTTCCCAAGCGTTTGTTTGTTCGTGCGCTCGATGCCCGTTTCGATGCCGTTCGTCCGCTTGCAATCTGCAGACGCGTCCGTCGCGTCAAAGAGAAAATGGCTGAATGATGTGAAAGAGAAAATGAAAGACTGATTTATAGAATTCGTAAAAGGCCAGCAGCAACAGCAGCAGCAGCGGCAGCCGCAAGAAATTCCCTGTTTTTGCTGTTGTTCAACTCAGAGCGAAGTCGTCGCACCGTCGCGTCGGCTGTTTTGTTTGTTCACTCTTGTTCTTCTTCTTGTTCGTTCTCTCGTTCTTACTCTCGCGCATTCTCTCTGTCTGTCTGTGTCTCTTGGGCGATCAGAGAATTTCCCTGTATAAAAAGGGCCCACGGGACATTCTAACGGCAACTCCGGCCGAAAGAGCTTTAACTGAACCCTATGTCTGGCGAGGACTATAGCAATGCCGCTCATTGCTTCGGCTTCGGCACTGCCGAACCGGCACACGACCAGCGCACCCACACATACACACGCACGCTTATGCATTCGGTTATGGTTCCCTCGCTCTCTCAATCTCTCTGGCACAGGCACAGGCCTCTCTCAGAGTGCAGGGCCAGCAACCCTCGCGACTCTCTTGCCTCTTGCTGCTTTCAGTTCCCTACTTTTTGCCCATTATTATTATTATTTTTATTTATATTTTACTGCATGTTGTTGTTGTTGCAGGCACGTTAAATATTTCCTGTTTGTATGTCGTCGTCGTCGTCTTCTCCCCACTTTGAACCCGCAAATTGTGTATGTGTTTCCATCTGTGTGCGTTTGCGGGGGGCAGTTCATGTTATGGTCACGTACACTGCGGCCTCTGCTCCCGCTGTCTCGGCCGCTCCCATTGCCGCAACTGCTGCTGCTGCTGTTGCTGCTGCTCTCAGTCCCAGCATTGCCGTTATGCGTCCACATTTGTCGCGTGCTCTTCTTCTGCTCCTTCCTCTTCTTTTCCCTGCTTGTGGCTTTT